CCAAAAAAAACTTTGCGATTTTTCCGCCGGTATAACAAAACTTTTTATATTTTAAGACTTGCTCCTAAATAAATCGGTCCAGTTCACGTAAATCTTTATATTTTTCCGAAATATCTATATATATGATTCCGATGGAAAAACAGTACCGATTTTTTTTTTTTATGAGGAGTGATGCAGCCTAATACATACATATTTATTCTTAAAAGTAAATAGCCAAGTGATACTTATGACTTTTTGTCAGGCGAGATTTCCATCTAAAATTGGATACATCCACTTATTACTTATTTACAAAATCACGCATGCATTACTTTGAATTGAATGCGCATAAATAAATACAATTGAAACACCGCTAATTACTTTTAATAAAAGTAATGAATTGGCGCTTAAACAATTAGGGGACTCACAAGATGTGTTAAGATATTTTGGTGCAGTTAGAAATCCGTTTAAACAATTTTAATCATTATTTTACATAAACAAAGTTTAAACTTAAGATTTTACGACAAGCTAACACGTCGAAAATACCACGAAGAGGGTTGCCACCTATTTGTAAAGTGAAATTTAATTAAACTAGAATAATAATTGTGTCAAACCAAAGGTTTACTACATCGTATTTGTTATTTGATTACAAATACAATACATTGTCAATCAGTGATTTGTTCTGATTAAATTACTTTTAAATTACTGGACATTTAAATTAACTAAGGAATGTTTTTACTCTTCATTTATTTCTTGCATAACATGTAAAATTTTTTCTCTTTTCCGATACCCTTATCGATATACATATATCAGTTATCTTATTCTCTTAATTAAAGTGAGTTTGATTTTTTAAACATGTGACAACCCTTCAATGTGTCGTTTAAAGGTAAAGCATTTTCAAAACCATTTCAATTGATACCCATATTGTAATATCTAGTTCATTTAACTTATGAAATAATTTTAATTAAATTTGTAAAAGGTGGCAACCCGTTTAAAAAATTAAATTTTATTGCACATCTACAGGCCAAGCCCTGCCAATAGCTAACACCTCACGTTTGAAAATAGAACGAACTATATGTACATACCTAGTATGTAAATGCCTCAAGAACCCAAATTTTCAACTTCAAACTGCATTTACAGTGACAGTATGAAAGTTATCAAAAAACAAATTGCATTTTTGAATTTAGCGTCCGCAATTTTACTAAGAAGCGAATTTTCATTTAAATCCGTCCATAATTTTTATTTTGTTCACATTTCATATGGAAGTGCTTCCCACTGTGCGACGGGTCCACTTGTCATAGAGCGCATGAAACAATGGCACTATTGGGATCATCTGCTATCTTATTGAACCACCCTATATCTATGTATGCATGTAGTAGTAAATTTTATGCCGAAATAAAATCAAAAAGCTAATATTATCCATGTTTTTGTATGCACTAGCGATTAGTATAAGTAGCAAAATGGGTAATGCGTGGTTTTCCGGGCGATAAATGCTAACTAAACGCAGAGTTATACCAGCACCTAAATACGCATGTATGTATATATATTTATTTTATCTGTGCAAATATTTACAAAGCTTATTATAAACATATTTAGTTAAGCTTTTAGTCGTATTCAATAATACTTAGCTACCAATATGAGTGATAAGTGTATTGAGTTTTGTATGCGGCTTAAATTTCCTTATTTATTTTCTTTTGATAAAATTATTTAACTTCAACTAGTTCAAAATATTACAAGAATATATGTATGTGTATTAAAAAAATAATTACAAATCTATACATTTTATCGGTTTTCGATCAACTCACATCTACCTTTGAAATTATGCAATTACAATATAACATAAATCGAAAGATGAGCGAATGAAAAAAAATCGTAATTTCATTTCCTCTTTGAAGTCTATCCAATCTTTATACATATGTTGATAGGAGAAAGTTATTTTGTGTTTCGCCTTACCAATTCCATATATTAACTGACACGGATTTAATATCTTGCCAGTGGCTATGAAATATTCATGCAAAATTAATGAGAATGTCGTGTGTTGAATTAAGTATTGCACAATTTTCCACGTTTTGTGACCTAAGAGCATATTTTGACACATTTCTATGCTTTTAGCTATTAACAGTTACATCTGCAGATATAAGTATGAACATACGATTAAATATTTATATATGTATTTTTGTATGCATAATTTTTGTGCATTAGTTCAATGCTAATGAATGAAGGTCAAGTTCACAGCTTGACATTTAGCATTTTTAAGCATATGGTATATATTTCCTGCACATAAACATTAGACCAGATGTTGCCAAACTTTTTTTCTTGTAGACCACTTTCAAAATTTTACTGCTTTCGGTGGACCCATTGCTGCTACATTTCTACCCTGATTTCCAAACCTCGCAAAAAGTGTGAAGATTTGCTTTAATTAAATTAAATTTATTTTTTTTATTTTTTTATGAAGACTAGATCTATCGATGGAAATTTGCGTCGCGATTGTGTTTCAAGCCTGAATTCGGAGTGGTAAGCATATAAATAATCGTATATTTTCTTGTGTTCTATTTATAGACAGAACGTTCTTTTATGAGGAGTAATATTTTGAGTGGCATGGGAACTTGAGGTAATTATTGATGCTAAAATACAGAGTTAAATTTATTTAATATAAATTAAGAGCGCTCTTTCTTTTTTAACCAACAAAAGAACACATAAAAATTGATTGCTCTTGAGTTTAGTTATAGTGAGGAGGAGGATGGACCTTGTATTTATTCCCCAGTGAGGAGTTTTTACGAACTCTATCTTAAAATACACCACTCAAAAAAATGAAGGCGGGGTTTAAAAATTAAAGGTTAATAAACAGGCAATTTCAGCCATATAGCGCCCAATTGAACAAATTTTTTTGACGCCGTTGCGATGGATAAAAAAAAAATTTCCCGCGCTCTCTGTTAAGATTGCATGCGAACCTGGTTGCTAAAAATTTTTAGCCAAGAAATCCTAAAGCTTCAAAGTGATTTTTTTTTGATTACAATAACAAAATTTTGCACCGATTACAGCCTTTCAAATACCGAATTTTAATGTTTTTTTGCTTTCTTAGTATTTTAGCATTGTATTATATAGATAGGTAAGCCCAAGCCAACATTTTTGATTTTTACTATCGACAAAAAAAATTTTCGTGGACGCCCATTTACAACTTACGAACCACCATTTATTCACGCCATCGTAGACCCCCGTCGAGTCTCCCATAGACCCCAGGGTGTTCACCTGGACCATTTTGGGAATCACTGCATAAGACTGGACATAAAATTTTGCTTATTCAAAAATTGCACATAATTTTGTTGGAAATTAAAAACTGAACATAACTTGTTTGTAGTTTAAAGACTGAAGCATAAATTTTGAGTAGTTTAAAAACTTAGAATAAATTTAAATTTGCACAATAATTGAAAAGTGTGCATACGCAGTTTTTGATTACTGCAAATTTACGCCCACTTTTAAACTACCATAATTTTATGCCCATATTTTCTATAACCAAAATGTACGTCGCGTTCCTAAATTTCTTTAAATTTATGTTCAGTTTTTAAATTCGAGTTCCAGTTTGGTAATTCCAGTTTTAAAATTACCAAAACACTATGTACAGTTTTATTTTTAACGTTACTTCAAAACTGCACATGAACTGGAGAAAAATGTTTAGTAGTTTATAATTTAAGTATAAATTTATATATGAGTATGTATTGAAAATTAGGCAAATATTTTTATTGTCTATATATATCCAGTTTTTTATAACCATAAATTTATGTCTAGTGTTAAATTACCATAAATTTGTGTCTAGGTTTTCAATTGCCAAAATGTAGGCTAAGTTCTCAAATTTTACTAAATTTATGTCCAATTTTTGAATTCGCATAACTTAAGTTAAGTTAAGTTTAAATTACTAATAAATAATGTCCAGTTTTCTTAATACCAAAAAATTGTATCTACTTTTTAAATTAGCACAACAAAGTAATTTTCCTAACGGGTATATAAATGCATACATATGTACAGTGGCGGGCAAAAATGGATGAATGGTGTTTCGTTTTTAATGTGTACGATGTTTTTCAAGCTGAAATTTTTTTGATATTTTGTTATAAAAATATGGTTTATACATTAAAAAAAAAAATATAAATCACACTTTCGAACTTTATACAGAACTTAGAAAAATTCTTATATAAATTTCAAACTTTTTAACCAGAATTTTTAGAACTTTCGGCTATGCAGTTATAAAGCTTATAAAATTCTGATAAAACAAGTGCAAGTTTTGAGTGGCTAAAAAATCGCATTGATTTTTAATATCTTTTTTTACGGCGTTTTGCATATAAACACGAACTTCTTGTGGAAGAATATGGCCAAGACCGTTTGCGCAAAATAAAAAAAGCCAG